ACAATCATGGTACCCTGGATACCATCACGAAGAGCCAAGAGTCCTTGGTCAATCAAATCATGGCTAAGTTATCTGGTTTACAACAAGCGAGTGCCCCAGGGGTAGGTTCGTCTGAGGGGGTAACTATACCACCAACCCCATAAGTGGTTATCTCACCCAAGATCTTACCCGGACTGCAAGGGGACTTATCTACGGTAAAAGGGAAAGCCTCATTTGTTGCAAAGATACAAACTTCTACAACTAACCTTGCCAATCATCCGGATGATTACCATATCCCAGATTTTGATGAGGAAGACAAAGAAAAGAAGATGGAAGAGAAAATTAAGATACTAGAAGACCAAATGAAAGTGGTCAAAGGGGACTATGATTACTATGGGGTGGATGCATTAGAGCTAAGCCTAGTCCCGGATTTGGTGCTTCCACCAAAATTTAAATTCCCTGAGTTCGAGAAATTCGACGAAAATAGTTGCTCCTCAGCCTACATCACTATGTTATGTCGGAAGATGACAGGGTATGTGGGAAATGATCAGCTTCTGATCTACAACTTCCAGGATAGCCTGGCCAGTTCAGCTATCCGGTGGTACAATCAGCTTAACCGAACTCATATCAAGACATGGAAAGACTTAGCCAAGTCCTTCTTGGAGCATTACAAGCACATTAATGATATGAGACCAGACTGAGTTTTGTTGCAAAGCTTGAAGAAGAAGCATAACGAGAGTTTCTGACAGTACGCACAGAGATAGAGGGATTTGGCTATGCAAGTTCATCCACCATTGGATGAAAAAGAAACTATGAAGCTTTTTGTACAGACCCTGAAGGCTCCTTATTTTGGGCACCTAATCGCAATCATATTAGGAAGCTTTTCAGACCTGGTTATGGTCGGAAAGATGATTGAGCTGGCCATAAAATAAGGAAAAATAGAGGGAGGGGAATCAAGCAAGAAACCTCCTATGAAGAACAAAGATAAAGAGGTCAAAAACATCAACACCTACAATGCCAGCAAAGGTATTACCATCTCAAGCACCAAAACAACTTCAGTTGTACCGTCAGGTACTTCTAAACAAAATCAGAGGGAACGTAAGAAAGAAAGAGAGAATGAGCATTTCGATCCTATTCCCATGACGTACAAAGAATTATACCAACAACTCTTTGACACCCATGTGGTGTCACCTTACCTTGTGGAACCAATGAAGCCCCCATACCCAGATGGTATGATGAGAATGCCCTATGCAAATACCATGGTGGTGTACTAGGGCACACAATCGAAAATTACCTCGCATTCAAGAGGCTTATACAACAAATGCGCAATAAGAATTGGATCCACTTTAACTCTGGAGCACCAAACATTGCACAAAATCCCTTGCCTAATCATCAGGAGACTGGGATTAACGTAGTCATTACCGAGAAGGGCAGGAGAATCAAAATTGATGTTTAGGAAGTAAAATCTCCTTTGGCTTGGGTATGGAGCCAAATGGTAAAGGCATGGCTTCTTGCACCATAGGAAGATACAACAAAGAGTGGAGATGGTAACCACTATTGTTACCACAACGAAGAGGGGCATGAGATACAAGATTGCCCAGAATTCAAAACTTTGGTCCATCTCATGATGGATAAAAAAGAGCTGGAATTTTTTGAAGAAGTTCAAGATTCTTCGGAATCATATGTTTGCGTTACAGAAGAGTCATCCGAAAGAAGATATGGTAGGGGTAATCCTTTGATAATTACCCCTAAAGCAAAGACAGCAGCAACGACACAAGAAAAGGTGGTGATCACAGCACCCCGACCTCTTCACTACAAGGATAATCGACAAGTGCCATGGAAGTATGAATGTCAGGTGAGCACTTCAAGAGAAGATGATAGCAAAGTGGGGCAGAGACCATTTGAACCCTTCATGGAAGATGTGATGGCTATCAACAAGCCCGGAAAGGAGGAATAAGCTAAAAAGTTCCTTAAATTCTTGAAGCACAGTGAATATAACATCGTAGAATAGCTACATAGCTTGCCGACACGTACTTCAATATTGACACTATTTTTGAACTCGGAGGAACACCAGGAGGCACTGTTAAAAGTCCTGAATCGGATGTTCGTACCACAAAATATACCAGTCAGCAAGATGAATTGACTGGTAAACAATATTCAAGCTGGTAATCTCATCTCATTTTCAGATGATGAGATTCCATATGGAGGGAAAGGCCAAACAAAGGTATTACATATCACCACCCATTGTAAGGGGCACACTTTACTGAGTGTATTAATCGAAAACGGTTCAACCCTGAACGTGATGCCTTTAGTCACATTGAAAAGGTTGTCAATAGATACCTCTCATATGAGAACCTATCAGAGTGTGGTCCGAACATTTGGTAGGACCAAGAGGGAGGTAGTTGGCAACATTGAGGTGACGTTAACCATCGGACTTGCCACCTATAATGTTGAGTTCTTAGTGATGGATATCATGCTTTCTTATAATTGTCTTTTGGGAAGGCCTTGGGTTCATCAAGCTGGTGCAGTACCGTCCACGCTGCTCAAAATGTTAAGTTTGTTATCGATGGAGCCTTGGTGATTATTGACGCCGAAGAGGATATTGTGGCAAGTGTGACCACAGACGCTCCATACATCGAAGTAGACGAGGAGACGGTAGAATGTTCATTCCGCTCCTTGGAATTTGTGAATGCCACATTCGTGGCTGAAGGAAGAAAGATTTCTAAACACTGACTCTCCAAGTATACCAAGATAGAAATAAAGCAGACCTTGGGAAGAGATGCCAAGACGGGAAGAGGATTTGGAAAACTGTTGCAAGGAATGATTGATCTCATCCTTTATATATCAAAATTCGATCAATTTGGGCTTGGTTTTCAGCCCACTCAGCAACAAAAGGGGAAGGAAGTTCAGAAGAACTGGGAAAGAAGAATGGACAGGTTAATTGGAACTGAATTTCAATGGGAACCCATGGTATTCACACCTTTGTACGATATATTTAAGTCATGTGATTATGTGTTTGAGACCACCTCATCAGATTTGGAAGTGGCTCTGAAAGATCTGAGTATCAATGTCATAATCACAGAAAATGCTAAAGGTGCGGATAGATCAGGAATCCGCCCACTGCCACTTGGGTCTGTGCTTAGCAACTGGTCGACAGAATAACTGCCTGTGATCTACAATGTCTTTCAGAGTAATATTCAAACTATACCTATTTGCCTATACCCAGGGCAATAGGTGATCTTTTGTAAGGGTGAATAAACGTATTGTTTTAAATTCATTAAAAGATGCAATTTCTTCCATGGCAAACAAGTTTTCTTATTTCATTCATTTTTTCTATTTTCTTCATTTCAGTACTCCATTTCATTCTCTTTCGAACTTAATTTTCGGCTATTCTGTGTGGTATATTTTTCTCTCACGCATACACATTTTATTTTTTCTTCAAGTCCCCAGATACTGATAATGCAGACATTGATGATCCTGATCCGGAGGTAGATTTTGAATCGACCATTTGTCTTGGGGAAGTTGATGAATATGAAAATGAAGTGGAGTGCAACTTACCTACCGAATTTTTTAGAATGATAGAAAGAGAAGATAAACAAATATTGTTGCATGAGGAAAAGATCGAAATCTTGAATCTGGGCACCAAAGAGGAGATAAAAGAGGTTAAAATCGTCACATCTCTTTCTGCTAAAGCAAGACAAAACTTGATAATCTTACTTCAAGAATATTGAGATGTGTTCGAATGGTTGTATCAAGACATGCCGGGACTAGACATAGATATGATAGTCCATAAACTGCCTATCAAACTAGAATACAAACTCGTGCAAAAAAAGCTGAGGAGAATGCGACCATAAATACTCCTTAAGGTTAAAGATGAGGTTAAGAAGTAATTCGATGTTGGTTTCCTTTAAGTGGCCAAGTATCCGAAGTGGGTGGCCAACATAGTGCCAGTTCCGAAGAATGATAGGAAGGTGCACATGTGTGTTGATTACCGGGACCTTAACAAGGCAAGCCCCAAAGATAACTTTCCTTTGCCACACATAGACACTTTGTTGGATAATACTGCTGGGAATGCCTTCTTCTCATTCATGGACGAATTTTCAGGATAAAACCAGATTAAGATGCATCTTGAAGACATGGAAAATACCACGTTCGTCATAATATGGGGAATATTCTGCTATAAAGTGATGTCCTTCGGATTGAAGAATATTGGGGCAACATATTAGAGAGCTATGGTGACCCTGTTCCATGACATGATACACAAAGAAATTAAGGTTTATATCGACGACATGATTTTCAAGGCACAAACCGAGAATGAACATGTCAAGAATCTATGAAAGCTCTTCCAGAGATTAAGAAAGTTCTAGCTGAGGCTGAACCCTAGCAAGTGTACATTCGGAGTAATATCTGGGAAGTTGTTAGGCTTCATGGTCAACAAGAAAGGCATCAAGGTTGATCCTGATAAAGTTAAGGCTATCCAGAATCTTCCTCCCCCGCAAACATAAAAGGAGGTTTGAGGTTTTCTAGGCAGATTGAACTACATAACACAGTTCATATCTCAGTTAATCGACAAGTGTGACCCAATCTTTCGCCTTCTCCGGAAGAACAACCCTGGAGCATGGGATGAGAACTCACTACAAGAAAATATACCTTTAATGACATACAAACGATGACACACGCTAATTTATGACTTGCAAAATAGGTGTGTCATAAAAAAATGTCATGTTTTTTAAAATATGAACGATTTATAACTTACAATAATGTGTGTCATATTTAATAGTCATAATCCAAAAAATTTGCAAAAACACAAAGTACACTTTTAATTATGTGTCATCTATAAAAGTCGTATTTTAATTTGCCCCCATTATTTTCACCCTTTCCTGCTTCTTCCTCCTCGATAACAAAGTTCACTCCGCTTGCTTCCCCATTTTTCAAGTTTCTCGGGATCCAAACACTGTCATAACAATGGTACTTTTTCCATGTTTTGTTCTCAATCTTGTTTAGGCGCACGTGGATATTGATGTTGATGTACCAAGGGTACCAAAGAAGAGAACGTTCAAGAAGTTCAGTTTCAAAGGTATCGATCTCGATGCTCTCTTGGATATGTCCAATGATGAACTCGTCAAGCTCTTTCCTGCTCGTGCTCGTCGAAGGTTACCACTCGTTATTTTCTCTATTTTATTTTTTTATTCTTCAATGGCTGTTGATTTTGAGATTTAGATATTTTATTTCTGCTAGTTTAGGTTTCAGATGGGTTTGAAGAGGAAGCCAATGGCTCTGATCAAGAAATTACGCAAGGCTATGAGTATTCTTCTATTTTCCTTCTTTTTCAACTATAAGGAATTAACTGATACTTTAGAGTGTATGTGTGTTTTCTTAATGTGTGGATCTGCATATGTACTAGTGTTTAGATTGAAAACGCAAAATGCCTAAGATTTTGGAGTAGTCTCTCCTAATGTTCTTTATAGTGTTGTTGTTGGTTGTGTATTTGCTTTCATATGTTAGACTACACATAGATAAATTGTATTGATGAACATCTACGGTTTCAAAATGCTTTCTAGATTCAATACCTAGTGGTCTATTGTTCGTAGTAGTTTTCGATATCCACTTTGTTTATATTGCACATCCGGTGATCTGATTTTCTGTGACTCCCTTTGGTAACGGATAACCATATAGTTCTACAGTACATTTGTTGTTCCCTCTTTCTTGGTTCGCTTGATCTGTATACATAATATAGTTCCCTGTTTCACTAGCAACCTTGTTGGGAAGCTTATGATGTCAGGGGCTCATGGCTGTAATAGCTAGCTATCGTTTTTTGTGATATCACGATACATAAAACTATCATGAAATGATTTTCTTTCTTTCTCCTTTTCCCTTATTTTAGCTAGTGTAGTGTCATTTTAGCATATCTCTGTTGCAAATTTTGCCAGTGAAGTAGGTAGCTTTGATGATTCATTGGGATATTTAACTGATTTCTTGTTTATAATAAAAGTTTCCCTTGAACTATTTTTATTTATGATGATCCAAGTAATTTTTGGTAGTAACTTATATCGAGAATGCTATTCTGCTGTCTTGAAATAGAATCGGGACACTCCACCTGGTGAGAAACCCGAGCCGATTAGGACGCACCTCCGCAACATGATTATAGTTCCTGAAATGATTGGTAGTATCATCGGTGTTTACAATGGAAATACCTTCAATCAAGTGGAAATCAAGCCAGAAATGATTATCCACTATTTGGCTGAATTCTCAATCTCATACAAGCCAGTAAAGCACGGAAGGCCTGGTATTGGTGCCACTTATTCATCTAGGTTTATTCCACTCAAGTGAATGTCTTCACTCTTAGTTTTGTTGGAATGTTGTTCTGTTATTGAAGCTTGATCGAAGTATTTACTGTTTAGTGTTGTTATTTCTCTGTTAAGTATTCAAATTTAGAAAAAGACTTCGTTAAGCTTTGCATTTTTTCCTATTTCCTCTTCCCCTTCTAAACTATTTATTACCATCATCCGGTCTGGCCCAGCTTCGAAGTTTATGAAATAATTTTGATACCACTTGTTCCTATTTATTTATTTTATTGATAGATCACGCTGATAACCTTGATTTAATAGAAAGAAAGTTCATTTATAAAGGTATGGTAATTGGCATAAGATTTAAACAGACAACGAATTTGGGTATGTTTTAGAGAATCTAACATTGGATTTTAACTGTTCGAAGGGAGAAAATTTTATGTAGCTGATCTCACTAGTTTGAACTTGAAGTTAAGCTGTTGACTTTTTGACAGGTTATTTCTTAACTGAAAATCTATTGTTTCCTTGTTACATTGCTTTTTTCTGACGCTCGTATTCTGCAAAAGTATATATTTTGTATGCTATATGAAGAAGTAATTGTTAACATTTGATTCCCATGTATTTTCAGTATCATAGTTTACTTGAATGCTTAGAAAATTAAATTTATGTCTCCTAGAAGGTTGTAGTTATTTTTATTTGAGGAATTTATTTTTTTATGGTGTTATGTAAGAAACTATATTCTTAAAGCACTTTTTGTTTCTTTGTTCTGATCCTTCACCTTGAATGTAAGTCATATATGTTATTTTTTCTCGAAACCTATGATAATAAACATTCTACATTCTCATATTTAATGTTTTCTTCCTTCTTAACTTTGGGAATCCATTAGGAAGATAGATTCTTGGATAAGATGGACAGCTGCACTACGTAGTATTTAGTGGATAGCCAATACTAGATTCTATAAAGTTTACCTGGCTGAATTATGGCATCTACAAGCCAAGGAAATGGAGGAGTGGTTAGTTTCAGATCTGTTAATAGGATCAATACTTCTCTGTGAGTCGAATCTAACTATTTTCTTCTCTTTGTTTTTGATTTTTTAATTCTTCAAGGTTATATGTTTCCTTTTTTAACTAATTTTTTTTATTAAATCAGAGAAGCGGAAGAAAATTTATTTTGGAGGTAAATCACTTAATATTTTCACTTACATATTATCCGTTCAAAATCTATTTTGTGGTAAATAAATAGATTGCCTATTAATACTATTTTCCAGAGTTTGAATCCATAATAAGTTCTCTATTAATGCTAGGTTATTTGGAAATGGACTTGTTTTAATTGAGTTCGAGTAAATGAGAATAGTGCTAATATTTCTGCTTTCCCTATGAATTCTTATTTTATTCCTCTAAATGGTCTGGCAATCTTATACAAGATGCCCTTATTGTTGAAGTGAATGGTGTGGCAAACCTTGTTGAATGTTGGTCACTATATATGGTAGAACTTGACTTTATTGTTTCTTATAATGTGTGTTAAGTAGTTCCCCTTCTTGTCTGAGGTTCTTAAATTCTCATGTAAGGTTTCTATATATTATAGAACTAATGTGACCTTGGTAATCAGGTTGGCCGTGGTGCTGGAAATGTTGTATTCCTTGTAATTGCTATATACCCAGAGATTGATCTATGTTGTTCCGAGACTATACTGCTGGTGACCTTACTCAGGTTGATCTATGCACATATCGTTTAACACCATTTTAGTAAAATTAATGTGCTAAGATCTTATACTTTGTTAGTATCTTATTGTGATAATCTGAGAACAATCTTGGTTTTTTGTTTTCAAATAGCCATAGGTGATGGGTATTATGTTTATAACTTAATGTGAATATATTGTATGCAAATGGATTACTTATATATAATATGATATATATATATTTAGTATTATGAGGCATTAAATGTGATTTAGTTTGATTATTTTTCAATCTATAATATATATATATATATATATATATATATAACAATATTTAATGAAATACAATCATGACACACGAATGTGTGTCATCTTTTTTTAATGACGTGTACTTCAATGACACGCAATGTAAGTCATACATGCGTGTCATAAATTTATGACACACAAATGTGTGTCATCTTAATTTATGACGCGGGCTTCAATGACGCTCAATGAATGTCATAAATGCGCGTCATAAATGTGTGTCATAAATGCGCGACATAGATTTATGACACACAATTGCGTGTCATCTGAGATTCATGTCGGTGGCTTTAATGACAGGAAAATATGTGTCATTCACATCCATAGATGACGCGCAATGCGCGCCATTAAAGTGGTTTTTTCTTGTAGTGGCTGCCAAATTGCATTCGAGAAGATAAATGAGTTCTTATCTCACACTCCTATCTTGATGTCCCCCATTTCGGGCAAACCACTATTCTTATATTTATCCATATTCGAGAACTTAGTGGGGTGTTTCCTGGGTCAACATGATGAGTCCGGAAGGAAGGAAAGGGTCATCTACTACTTGAGCAAGAAGTTTACCGATTGTAAGGTCAGATATCCTCTCATCGAAAAAGTTTTTTGTACTTTAGTCTGGGCTACACGAAGACTCAGACAATACATGTTATATCACACCACTTGGCTGATTTCCATGTTATATCCACTAAAGTACATGATGAGCGTGCCTACTCTCTCTAGAAGGTTAGCCCGATGGCAGATGTTGTTATTGAATTTGACATCGAATATGTAAGCCAGAAAGCCATAAAGGGAAGTGTCATATCGGATTTCTTGGCAAGCAGAACTGATGAAAATTACGAGCCGCTAGACTTTGACTTCCCAGATGAAGACTTAATGGCCATATCCTTAGAAGAAGTAAGAACTTCCACAGACATTTCTTGGAGAATGCATTTCGATGGTGCATCAAAGGCATTAGGATATGGCATCGGGGCCATACTAGTCTCCCCATAAGGGAATCATTACCCATTCACTAGCAGACTAATTTTTGATTACGCTAACAACATACTAGAATATGAGGCTTTTGTTTTGGGGATTCGAGCTACAATGGGGCAAAATATAAAGACAATATGAGTATATGGAGATTCAGCCTTAGTAAACTACCAGCTTCGTGGAGAATGGAAAACCAAGGATGTAAAGCTGGTGGAGTACCGGAAGCTAATATTGGATTTGCTCGAAGAATTCGATGAAATCACCTTCCACTATGTGCCTAGAGAAGAAAATCAAATGGTTGATGCTTTAGCTACCTTAGCAGCCGCATTCAAGGCTGACAAGGAGTCTGAAATGATGCCAATTGACAAACAATCATATGAGTACCGGGCTCATTGTTACCAAATCGAGGAAGTGAAAGACACTAAGCCCTGGTACCATGATATTCTGCAATACATCAAGAATTGAAGTTATCTAGAGGAAGCCATCGAAACTGACAAAAGAACCATTAGAAGGATGGCAGCTGGATATGTCCTTGACGGGGAAGTTCTATACAAGAAAAGCCATGATCAAGTCCTGTTAAGGTGTGTAGATGCAGAAGAGGCTAAGATGATAGTGGAAGAGGTACATGACGGAGTATGTGGAACATATGCGAATGAACATATGATGTCAAGGAATATAATGAGATGCGGATATTTTTTGTCCACAATGGAAAGTGGCTGCATCAACTACGCTAGAAGATGTCATAAGTGTCAAATCTATGGGGATAAAATAAATGTTCCACCTCAACCTCTTTATGCGATGACATCACCATGGTGTTCTCTATATGGGGCATGGACGTTATCGGGCAAATCCATCTGAAGGCTTCGAATTGTCACCGATTCATTCTTGTGGCAATTGATTACTTCACCAAATGGGTAGAAGTTGTGTCATACGCCAGTGTTACTCAGTCCACTATTTACAAGTTTTTGATGAAAGATATCATATGTCGATATGGTTTACCTGAAAGGATCATCACCGATAATGCTACAAACTTGAACAACAAAATGATAGATATTGCTTGTGAGCAATTCAACATAAAGCATCACAACTCTAATGCTTATAGACCAAAGATGAACGGAGCAGTAGAAGCAGCAAA